ACGGAATTAGGAACCTAATTAGGGTAATCTGGTTCTGCAAATAGGGCGGATTTGATGAAGGGACGGAGATGCAGAGCGAGTGAGAGACGGAGAGAAAATGAGTGGAAAGATGGAAGGACTGAAGCATAGAAGAAGGAAGAAGTGGAGTGGTGAGATTAGATGGAGTGATGGAGATGAAGAAAAATAAAGAGCAAGAATGATGGTGTTTGGTGGAGAATGTTAGTGTTTGATGGAGAAATTGGAGAATGATGGTGTTAGATGGAGAATGATGGTGTTTGATGGAGAATGTGGGTGTTTAATGGAGAATGTTGGTGTTAGGTGGAGAATGATGGTGTTTGTTGGAGAACGATGGTGTTTGTTGGAGAGTGTTGGTGTTAGATGGGGAATGATAGTGTTTGATGAAGAGTGTTGGTGTTCGATGGGGAATGATGGTGTTTGTTGGAGAATGATGGTGTTTGATGAAGAATGTTAGTGTTTGGTGGAGAATGATGGTGTTTGTTGGAGAACGATGGTGTTTGTTGGAGAATGTTGGTGTTAGATGGGGAATGATGGTGTTTGTTGGAGAATGATGGTGTTTGTTGGAGAATGTTAGTGTTTGTTGGAGAATGATGGTGTTTGATAGAGAATGTTGGTGTTAGATGGGGAATGATGGTGTTTGGAGGAGAATGATGGTGCTTGTTAGAGAATGATGGTGTTTGTTGGAGAAATTTGGTGTTAGATGGGGAATGATGGTGTTTGTTGGAGAATGATGGTGTGTTGGAGAATGATGGTGTTTGATAGAGAATGTTGGTGTTAGATGGGGAATGATGGTGTTTGGAGGAGAATGATGGTGCTTGTTAGAGAATGATGGTGTTTGTTGGAGAAATTTGGTGTTAGATGGGGAATGATGGTGTTTGTTGGAGAAATTTGGTGTTAGATGGGGAATTATGGTGTTTGTTGGAGAATGATGGTGTGTTGGAGAATGATGGTGTTTGATAGAGAATGTTGGTGTTAGATGGGGAATGATGGTGTTTGGTGGAGAATGATGGTGTTTAATGGAGCATGATGGTGTTTGATAGAGAATGATGGTGTTTGTTGGAGAAAGTTGGTGTTAGATGGGGAATTATGGTGTTTGTTGGAGAATGATGGTGTGTTGGAGAATGATGGTGTTTGATAGAGAATGTTGGTGTTAGATGGGGAATGATGGTGTGTGGTGGAGAATGTTGGTGTTTGATGGAGCATAATGGTGTTTGATAGAGAATGATGGTGTTTAATGGAGAATGTTGGTGTTAGGTGGAGAATGATGGTGTGGAAGAATGATGGTGTTTTGTGAGGAATACTGGTGTTTGTTGGAGAATGATAGTTCTTGTTGGTGAATGATGGTGTTTGTTGGAGAATGTTGGTGTTTGGTTGAGAATGTTGGTGTTTGGATGGAAATGTGGGTGTTTGGTTGAGAATTTTGGTGTTTGTTGCAGAATGATGGTGTTTGGTGAGGGATATTGGTGTTTGGTGAATGATGGTGTTGGAGAATAATGGATAAAATGAACAGGCATACAGACACAGAGAGAGAGAGAGAGAGAGAGAGAGTCAGGTAACAATTCAGAAGGGCAGAAATGGTGTAGTTTGGTGTACGACTGCGGCCGAGCTGGTGAGAAAGAGCTGCTCTCGTTCGCATGGCCGAGGCACGGAGGCATCTTCCCCAGAGTTCATTAATTAGTTAATTAGTTAATTAGTCTGAACAGATGGCTGTGCCACACAAATCAGCAGCTCGTTGGAGCTGTGGGCTGCTAGGTGGGGGGAGAGAGAGAGAGTGATAGAGAGAGAGAGAGACAGAGGTGAGCTTTACTCAGATGTGAAGCTAAAAAACAAGCTGTGAACACTAACACAGACAGACTGCAGTGCGGGTCTCTGGGCATCCACTGTGTGTGTGTGAGAGTGTGTGTGTGTGTCTGTGTGTGTGTGTGTGTGTGTGTGTGTGTGTGTGTGTGTGTGTGCGTGTGTGTGTGTGTGTGTGTTACTCATAAAGACATGAAAACAGTGACGGAAGAGCAGCATGGAATCCTGCACGGGTCAGGAGGCAGAAACAATACGTCAATCTGTTTCTGTGCTTGTCTCAATGTGTATAACACACAGTACAGTACAGAATTCAGACACTGCCATTCATTTATTTAATTTCCAGTCAACGTGGCCATAAAATACAAGATATTCATCTTTCAGGAGATGTTTAAGAGGATATTATAAATGAGATGATCCACTTGCATAAGGAAAGAGAAAGTCAAAGGACAATAAGGGAGTTTCCAGAACTGGAGTTTCAAGAAATTATTAAAGCTACAGAGAAAATGGGGCTCCTAACAACCACCTGGAAGACCTGGTAGACCCCAAAACTGCCCCCATCAGATAAACAGCACTTAAAGCTTTCATCTCTGAGAGAGAGGAGAAAATCAAGCTGCTTCAGATCTGAAAACATCCACAGGTGTTGAGATAGAGGAGTAGGACGAAGTGTTAGGGGCTACATGACCCTCCGAACAGAGGTTTTTCACTCCAAACAGAGTGAAATGAGAAAAAAAGAAAGCAAGATGGCTGAACAAGAGACCAAAGAAACCCACAAATGTGAGAATTTTCTCTGTTAAAAAACTATGATCACCATTGTTTTTTCTTAGTTTAATGCCGTTTCAGTGTATTATGATCCTTTTCTTCATAATGGTGATAAAGCTGATGTCTCGGTAGTTAGCTATCTAACTTTCCCGTTCCACCTTAAATGGTGAAGCAGTTCTGAAGCCTGAGGTGCCAAAATGGAACTGCTGCTACATTTAAGGTGGAATGGGAAAATTTGAACAAGAAGCTGGTGAATATCTGACTTCAGCTTCATATCACTGAAGAATTAGGGGTGGGCGATAATAAATAATTGCCCCCCTCTTTGAAGACATATGAGTCCCTAAATGTAACTAAAGCCCAGCAGTGAGGAGCTGAACTTTACCCTCCTCTGCTGTCACTGCAGACTGGCAGGGTCGCCTACAGAGCAGCGCCAGTAGCTGTTAATGAAGTGATGCTCTTTTTATTTGAGGGTCCCATTTCAGAGGGAAGATCTCAACCACTACCCTGTAACTCAGTTCCAAGGGGCAAGGAGATGAGTGAAGGCTGATCTCTGATGTTTGAACAGTACTGTATGTGTGTGTGTGTGTGTGTGTGTGTGTGTGTGTGTGTGTGTGTGGCCAATTCCGCATTATCGTTTGTTTGAATGAATTCTCCGCTTCGCTGCAGATTCAAAAAAGCCGTTCTGATGGTTTATTTTTAGCTTGTTCCCGTCTCTCCTCTCTCTCCCCCACCTCTCTCTCTCTTTCTCCCTGTCTGCCCTCTTTCTCTCCTCCTCTATCTGTTACCTTCCCTCTCTCTGCCCCTCTATCTCTCTGTTTCCTTCCCTCTCTGTCCTCCTCTATCTCTCTGTTTCCTTCCCTCTCTCTCCTCTCTCTGTCTCTCACTCCCCCTCCCCCCTCTCTCTCTCTGTTTCCTTGTCTCTCTCCTTTGCTCTCTCTCTCTCTCTCTATCTCTTTCCCCATCTCTGTTTCATTCCCACTCTTGCCTCTCTCTCATGTCTTTCTCTCTCCCTCTCTCTCCCTGTCTATCTCTGTTTCCTTCCCTTTCTCTCTCTCTCTCTCCCTCTATCCCCCCTCTCTCCTCTCTTAAAGGTATAGCAGTAGTGCAGACTGGAGGTAAACCGATCATTTGCTCACATTAAAGGGCCCATATGAACTCGCTTTTATTTTTAATAAAATAATTTGATGTGTTACGTAAAAACTGTTCAAAACATCATTCGCAAACACCATTCGCGCTTCAGTCCATAAAGTCCACATGTGGAATGTGTGACGTCATGAAAACCAGAACATTTACGTATGTCCACCAGAGCTGGTTTATGAGGAGCCTAACCACTTCCTATTTCCCCCGTTATATCAAAAACAGGACTACTAAACAGCAGAGGGCGCCCGCGAGCGAGTCCTCGATGAATGGGGTAAATGGAGCTAAATGGCTAAAAACGAAAAGTTAAAATAGTTTCTAATCACTGAACCAGAACTTTCCTTTAACTTTAGAAAGTAGAAGGATGAGTTTTACTAAAAAAGCAGAGAAAACTCACCTGTATGTTTCCTTTATTCTACCTCAAACGGGTTTTGGGCAGCAGAAGGTGGGCATTACTGCTACTGAGAGCTGATTGGTTGGTGTGCGGAGCAGCTCATTGGCTGTTCGTGCTCACTGACGTCATGGATATACATGATGCGCCGTTTAAAACTCCTATAACTCGAGTTTAAAAGCTCTTAAAATATAACAGCAGTGTTAAAATGTTTTATGCTGTTCTGTGTTCAGGATATAAATGTATTCATTTACATTAAAAATGTTTAATCATTTATAAACTATGATTTTGCTCAAATGCTCCATATCAACCCATTCATTTTGGACTTGCTCGGGAGCGCCCCCTAGCATTTGAGAGATACGGAAGACATTACAGAGTGGAAATTCTCCTCTCTGCAAGTTCTCTATATCCACCTATTCAGGCTACATCAGTTTAGCTCCACCCACTCAGGCTGAAGTTATACAGAGTGTATCATCCTGAACTATTATTTAAATTCCACCTGATAAAGAGCAGCCAATCAGAACAGAGCTCATTTACATGTATCAGTCTTAAAGGCACAGTTACACATCCTGTTTATTGCTAAGTGTTAAAGGGAGGCTGGAAAATGATCATGTAAGAGTGAATTATGTGACTTTTTTGTCACGTTAAACACCACAAATATCACATGTGAACCTTGAGGAAAAATAAAATATGAGAAAAATATAGGATATAGGAAAACTAGCACAGGAGCTAGCAAGACACACACACACACACACACACACACACACACACACACACCCCTATACACACATATATGACACACATTTGGTGTTTGATGAGGAAAGTTGGTGTTTGTTGGAGAATGATGGTGTTGGGATCTGCTGTTGGGAACGGAGGTAAGAAGTGATGTCACACTTACCCAGCACCCCCAGTCTGTAGTTCATGGTGACCACTATGACGTTGCCGTAGGCAGCGAGCACGCTCGCATCAAACATGTTTCCCGCACCCTCCATATACGAACCGCCATGAATGAACAGCATAACCGGCTTCTTCCGACGATCTCGGATATCTGTGAAGAAATTATAACACGCATTAAAATACAGACACAGACACAGAGTGTGTTAACATGCACTCAATAATCTGATCATAATCGGATTTCTGCAGTTATCCGATCATCCAAATGGTCACGTAAACATCATACTCTGATCTAGAAATCTGATTAAGAAATCCGATAAAGAGGCTGGATTTTAGCTCAGTAGTCAGATTTCTCAGTGCATGTAAACTCTTACTCTGATTTCTTTCGGATTTCTTAGTCTGCACATGTGCGAAAACAGATGGCGGTACCAGAAATAAGCAGCAGCGTCGCCGCGAGACGCAGCAAAACACATTTAGAGTGACACTGAAACCAAACACAAAACAAAGGATTTAAATATTGTTCATCTTCTAGATGATGTTTGTTCATATTTTCGGTTAAAGTGGCGCAATGTTTAAGAAAAAAAGCCCCGGTATGAAGTTTTATGTTACGTTTACGTCACGTTTTCTTCTGTGAATTTATTGGCTGGTTGCAAAGCAGAAATCTGATTACTGTCTGACTCAGACCCAGAGTTTCCCCATTATCTGATTACCCAAGTGCATTTAAACGTGTTGATCGGATTACTGACAAAATCTGATTTTCGACAGTTATTGGATTATTAAGTGCATGTAAACACACTCACTGACTTCATTAGCATTATGTAAAAAAATGGCCAAACTACACAAATTAACCCCGAAGAACTGAAGTCACAAATATTGTCGGCAATAACAAAAATATGCTGTACTTTTATGTGAATAATTCTTCACTCATGGCTCATTGAAATAAGTGGAGAAACTGTGTGGAAAGTGCAGATTCTAAATGTTCATAGCCAGTTTAAAGTTTCTCAGTTTGGTCTGAGCCAGTTCGTACCCGGACCACCCAGCTGGGAGGGTGAAGGCTTTGTGCTTTCCCTAAAGCTCTAACACATCTTTTTTAATCTGCCACTAATGCAACACCATTGGAGCTCAACACACTTAGAGGAGAGCATTAACTGCTAATCCTGTTACATCAGGTAACAGACGCTCATACTGGCTAGCATTGTGCTGAAGGATGGGGGGAGAGGGAGGACCACCCAGAGAGAGAGAGAGGACAGTTATAATGTCTCAGACTCACGGTTACGGATGGCTGTGGCATCACCAGAAATCGAGCTTACGATTGTCCGCAGACAGGGCCATTGTTTATGATTTGAATCTGATGAAAAGTTATTGTTGTACAGTCTCGTTTTGCATTTGGGAAAAAACACATTGTTGCTGTTTGTGTCATTTTCTGAAATCAAAACAAGCAGAAGTGCAGACTGGAACCTTTCAATACATTAGGTGTGAGTGTCTTACTGCATACGGACATGTTTAATGCAGTACCATTCATTCAGTTCATGTATATTTAGTTATTATTAACGACAAAAATAGAAAAACAAATGCAAATTAATGCCTTTAAAAAATATTTAACAAATACATTTTTTGGCCATTTTCATACATTCGCATACATTGATAAATACATTTGGAATATATATATATAATTAATTTATTTATATATGTATTTTTTTCATATAGGAAGATGGACAGCAGTGGCAAGAACTGCAAAAAACCAATGTGGCACCAAGAAGACAAGAATGACAAAGCTACTTAAGGAGGATGAGAACATATCTGAGCAGGTTGGCATCGAGAAATGCTGACCTTAACTTACTTAGATGAAAAGCTTTCGCCAGTTTTCATTTTATCACCACACAAAATGAAGAAAGCATTTGTCTGTGTGTGTGTGTGTGTGTGTGTGTGTGTGTGTGTATGTGTGTAGAGTTTTGGGTGGTCTGGTCTGCATCATGTAACTTCCGGTCTGAAAACAAGTCCCGCTCCAGCGCTGCGCCCCTTTCAGAGCAGCATTTATACACACAATTTAAATTTCAACAGTATGAAAGGAAAGCTGTGTATGGATCAGGCCTGTACGGCATGTGTTTTCGCTTATTTCTCTTCAAACAATAATTTTCTGCTTGTTTTACACTTTTCTCCATGACTAAGAGAACATCTTGATGTGTGAAAAGGTTGATCTGTGCTTTTCTGCAGCGGAGAGCTTTCCCTGCCCTCGACAATCTCAGTCTCAATTACAGAGATCTGCTTTCAGGAATGCTCAGGAATGCCTTTTTTCCGCGGCACTTATTTTCTGACTCTTTCACAGACGTTGATTTCGGCCATTCACAGTAACTCCCACGGCTTTCCAGTGATGGAATAACTTCTACAAGCCCTTTTCAGGCACAAATAAGCTTCACCTTCCGAATGTCTACAGTCGCCAGGTGTGCAGTAAGACACACACACAACGTATTTAAATAAACAAGATATCAAATCATATCTGCACAGAGTATCAATGCCTACAACTCTCGCTTTTGACATGTTAAAGGTTCATTTGATCATATTTAAAATGAAGATACAGTGAAGAGCATTAGACAGGACTGTGGCTGTTTTCATACATTTTCAAATGTATTTGATAAACACATTTACATACATTTATTTTCATATGGTACATTTCTATGTGTAATAAATAAATGCATTTAAAATATATTTGGTTAATATGGCAAAAAATACATGTCCATATATTTCTTTTTCCATATGGGATACCAGTCTCAAAATCATTTCGATGCTACACTGACTGCTCCAGGCCAGAACTCCTGCTATAGTGCTATGTAACTTTGGAGGAGCAGCACGAGAACCTCTCAGGAGAACTGTGTAACACTTTATGGCACCACGTCACACACCAGCAACTCAGCTAGCTATTAGAAAAAATAGCTCAGTATTCCCAGCATGGATATCATGGCAGAGGCTGTCAAAAGACCGAAGATGCTATCGGAGAAAGCGAGGAAGAGGAAAAAGGGAAAGTGACCAAACAGGACACTGGCTTTTACTCGTTGGCGATACTGTCCCGACGCTAGCTGTGGTAATCCGTCTCACGGCTAATGAGAAAACAACGAAAATCCAACAGCAGAGTAAACAGCCCTGTCAGTGAAAGATGTAACGTGTCATCCTGACTCACAGAGTTTTTTTAGTTTTTCCAGATGCCAAAAGTCTAACCAATCCTGTTGACCAATCCTGACTGCTAGCCTAGCCGCTGAGCTATAGGCTAATAAATATGACCAAGCAAGCAGTGGCATAAACACTTCAGTCTGTGAACAAAAGCATAAAGAAAAAAGAGCAATTCTATCTTTACTCTGCACAAAACGGAAAGCAGAAATGAGTATTTCACCCTTTCAGTCAGAGAAAAGAAGCCAAACTGAGGTGTCTAGATAACCTTGCTAACTTTAGCTTGTAGCTTGTTGTTCTCCTAGAGCTGGGCGATATGGCCAAAAACGTTATCACGATAAACAAAATTCATATCGTTCGATATCGATACATTTCGCGATAAATGTCAAATCATGATTTCTTTCACGTTTGAAGGCTGATTTTGCTCGTGGGTGGTTAACTGTGGTTTTAAACTATCATTTATGGTCCGATCATGACAAACACTCGGCAAACAGTGGAACATTTCACTAATCTGTCTCGGGACAGTGGGAGAAAGTTTCTGAGCTGTTTTTACCAGCTGGAAAAGCACAGCTGCAATTTTTGTAATAGTCATAATTTCAGAAAGAAAACAGATTATTTTAGCTGTCTGGTGACGAGCGCTCGGCTACCCCGCTACAAACTCTTTAGTTTCTCAACGACGTCAGCTCGGTTCGGTAGGTCACTGCGGTCACTCCTACCACATCCATGTCAGAGCAGATCACAGTATTCAGACACCAGTTAGCGACGACTGGGTTTCTCTATGCTGTCGTTGTAGTTTAAGGGGTGAACCGCAGTGTATCTGACGTTCACTGTGTAAAAGCATTATCTGCAGTGTGAATCTCTCACACCAGTCACAGAGTCCTCCTTTTAGGGACGTTTAAACTGAAAGCGGTGATTTTGTGTCTTGTTTGATCTACAGTATCATCAATTCACCGTGTTGTGCCGGAGCGCCGCTTCAAGTTAGCCAGCAGCTAAAAACAGCTAGCCTGGAGAGATAGCGCTCTCCCGCTCTCCAATGCCTCACAGCTTCCTCAGTTTACTTTCGAACATGAACCACTTCTTTCTTTCACTTTCGTTGCTCGAGAATGCACTAATACTAAAATATGGCGGTTTGGCGCTGTAACACGGCGCTGCAGACGTGATTTAACACTGCTAAAGCTGTTAAGATGCATGGAAAGAGGTGAGTTCACTGTAGGACAGTACAGTTACACCACTGACCTCGTCACTCACACTCGGTCACAGGAGAACAGATCGCCGGTCGCTCCACTCAAACAGGGACTGTATAACTCCACGTTTCAGCCGTTGCTAAAGTATATTTGGCGACCCTTTTTTACTCGTGGCCCCCTCCCTCTCTAATCAAGTCGAAAAATTCGGAAGTGCACCCTCTCCTGGCGACAGCAGAGTAGTGTTGCTTTCCTTGCAGTAGAAAACGCCACCAGGGCTTTCGCTAAAACGTGGAAGTGTGAGAATGTGAACCTGTCTTATCGCTCTATCGAGGAAAAGTTATATCGCGATACTTATCGTTATCGTTTTATCGCCCAGCCCTATGTCCTCCTCATCAATCTAAGTTATCTGTTCTCTACACTGTAACGCTAAAGAGAGTTACTACACTTATATCTACAGAAATAGGATAATCGGCCAACTAGCTGTAACACTGGCTATCTGGCTTCCTTCTGCGTTCCCTAAATGACCAAACAAAACACCAAAACATTTAATCCACCCCAAAGCAGCTGTGGGGTGGTCCACCTTCTAGATACATCATCAGAAGGGGGTTTTCCTCATCTTTAAACCAGAAAATCTCACTGTAGAGGCTGCTGTGGCACCGCTATAGGATCTGAGTTAGCACGTTTATAGCAGATGTGGTGACAGTTACATTTTTCATTTTGTCCAGAGCGTCTCTTTCACCCCAAGAAGACACACATACTGACGGCGATAATAAATGTCTGCTGTGATTCTATACAAATTATTTCTGAC